AGGGGATGGATCTCGTCTGGAGATCCCCTCTTCTGGTGTTTTGTAGGTGAGCCCAGCATACGGGTAAGCCTTCCATTTATTCTCTCTTATTATCTTAGTCTACTTTGCGTAACTTTCTTGTTCTTTTTGTGATTATAACATCTTAATACCCACTGATTAAATATCTTAATATCCATTGATTATACACTTGGCGAGCCAGGTAGGCCAAATATACTAATATTTACATCACGTCTTTTCTTTGGAATTTCTATAAGTGGGTGAAGGAGGAGAAGAATACTCCTCTCGAGACAATGATTCCAGGGCAGATCCCAGGATTTGCGGGATCCCCCTATTATGAGTGAGCAGTTATCATTGAAAAACGGCGTCCCTTACGCGTTATGGGCAATATCTCCTCGTATCGCATGGCAGATTGCTTTCAAGGACTTAGCAGGGATGTGCTTATTGCTGAAGAAAGATGTCTGGCTGCTTCCACAGTGGCATGGCCACTATTAAGTGCCTTAAATCATGCGGATGTAAGAAATAATACTTTAGGAAATGAAAACCAACTTTTAAAAGACTGTATTGAAAAACTGGAGCACGAACTTGGCGTATTAACAGGGAGGAAGCCAATTCTGCATCTTCCAGTAGGCCAAGTTCGTAACATTTCAATAAACCATGACCAGACTCCTGAATCAACAGACTTCGTTGATCAGGAAAATAACAAATCCAAATTAGATCTTGAATATCCAATGCTGACCGATCCACTAGAAGTCCGTCCTGTCATAACCCAGAAAACAAAAAAAGTGCAGTGCAGACCGGCAGGGGTGCTGCCTGATCAGTGGCCCCCTGCCCAGACTCATTTACATGTAACGGCCCGGCCATACACGGCAACAGAATTGATGGATTTAGTACAGCGATTTCGGCAGAAGCCTAGAGAAAGTGTGCCAGCTTGGTTATTAAGACTGTGGGATTCTGGGGCAGAAAGTGTCATGGTGAATGGCCCAGAAATAGCCAAGTTGGCCACCAGGACTGACCATCCTGCTCTCAGACAGAGGTTATATGTGGGTAATCAATATTGTGACAAAAACCATTCTGTAATAGAATGGTTAATGGCAGCCTGCCGTATGGTGTGGCCAAATAAATCGGACATACCTTTGCATACAGGCATGTGGTCCTCCATGGAGGACATCCAAAAGTATATCTGAGCACTGGGTGTAAGAGAGGCTATATGTGTAAGAGACACATTTGATGGCGCTGATATGGTTAAATTTTCAGCAGGGACGAGAGATTTAATTTTACAGCAAGCTCCCTCCCATCTCTATGGTACCCTAGTCTCTGTATTAAATCCCCTGGTGGCCTCAGAGGCCGTAGTGCAGCAGGCTGCCCAGTTAGTTGCCGACTTGGGAGAAACAGAACGCCTGCGGACTAGGCGCAATATTTGGCTATTGGAAGAAGCAGAGATCCTGCTGTAAGTAAAACCAGAATGCCGGCTACTCAAGCTCCTCCATCGAGACCCAGAAGGGTATCCCGAAACCAAATGTTTAATGATTTAATTTGGGCTGGGGTTCAATTTGCGAAGATTGACCGCCAGCCAAACCATGTCCTTCTCCAGCTCTGAAGGCAACTAAAGGACAATCAAAAATTCCAGAGCTACCCTAAGAAATCAAGGGTGAGGGTTATAGAGAGGGTACCAACAACAACGTGGATTTTATTGTTCCAAATAGAAAAAAAAAAAAAAATAAAGCCACCTCAGGTGTCTCGGGTCACAATGCCTGAGCCACCAGAAGCAAAAGAATTGGCCATAGCACAATTCATGGCGTGACAAGGGATGTTAGTCCCCGTAGGGCCTCCAGATGGGACCAGAGGCCCTATGTAGAATTACCGATTAATTGGTCCCGAAAAAATATTCAGAGAGTGATGGCATTGGTAGACACTGGAGCAGAAACATGAATTATCTATGGAGATCCGGGGAAATTTGATGGGGACAGAGTGATGATTGGTGGTTTTGGGGGACAGATTATCCCTGTCACCCAAACATGTTTAAAACATGTTGGGGGTTGGGCGTCTCCCACCCCAGGAGTACAAGGTGTCTATTGCCCCAGTCCAAGAATACATCCTGGGCATAGATATTCTATGGGGTCTGGCTCTCCAGACAACCGTGGGAGAGTTCAGACTTCAACAGAGATGTATCAGTATCCGGGCGGTGCAGGCAATAATAAGAGGCCATGCGAAACATGGGCCTGTTTGCCTGCCAAAACCGCGCCGGATTACTAACGTCAGACAGTATAGACTCCCGGGTGGGCAAGATGAAATATCGAGAACGGTGCAGGAATTAGAAAAAGTGGGCATTATAAGACCTGCACACAGCCCATATAACTCCCCCATAAAGGCCAGTGCGAAAGTCGGATGGCACATGGAGAATGACAGTAGATTACAGAGAATTAAGGTCACGCCACCTATTCATGCAGCCGTACCCAATATTGCCTCCCTAATGGACACATTGAGTAGGGAGATAAAAACCTATCATTGTGTCCTAGATCTAGCAAATGCATTCTTCAGTATCCCAATTGCTGAGGAATCGCAAGATCGGTTTGCGTTCACGTGGGGAGGCAGGCAGTGGACTTTTCAGGTCCTGCCACAGGGGGACGTGCATTCACCAACGTATTGTCATAATCTAGTGGCGCGTGACCTGGCTGATTGGACAAAAGCTGATGATGTTCACCTATATCATTATATTGATGATCTCCTGCTGACATCCGACTCACTGGAGGCAGTAGGACAGGCGGCAGATTCATTAACCACCTCTTTACAACAGAGGGGATGGGCTGTAAATCCCCAAAAGGTGCAAGGTCCAGGCCTGTCTGTAAAATTCCTGGGGGTGGTTTGGTCAGGAAAGACCAAAGTGCTACCCAGTGCTGTCATAGATAAGGTTCAGGCGTTCCCAGTCCCTACAACATCAAAGCAGCTGCAAGAGTTTCTAGGTATATTGAGTTACTGGCGTTCCTTTATACCTCACTTAGCGCAGCTGCTAAGGCCACTATACAGACTCACAAAAAAGGGGCAGCTATGGGACTGGGGGAAAACCTAACAGGATGCTTTCCAACAAGCGAAACTGGCAGTTAAACAAGCCCAGGCATTGGGTATATTCGATCCTACCCTCCCAGCTGTGAGTTGGACGTTCATGTTACTCAAGACGGCTTTGGTTGGGGCCTGTGGCAACGCCCAAGCTCTGTTTGGACCCCCATTGGTTTCTGGTCTCAGGTTTGGCACAGAGCAGAAGAAAGATGCAGTACGATTGAAAAACAGTTACTGGCTGCCTATTCGGCATTATAGGCAGTAGAGCCAATAACTCAAACAGCTGCAGTTATAGTCAAGACCACTCTGCCAATTCAGGGGTGGGTGAAAGATCTGACCCAGCTTCCTAAGACAGGTTCTGCTTTCCAAGCACAAACAGTAGCACGATGGGTGGCCTACCTCAGCCAAAGGAGCAGTCTGTCTTCATCACCCTTGAAAGAAGAACTCCAGAAGATCCTAGGCCCAGTGACGTATCACAGTGATGCACCAAAAGAAACACTGGTCGCTCCACCAGAGAAGAGTCCCGTTCAGGAGGGAAAATAACCTATCCCTGAAGATGCCTGGTATGCAGATGGGTCCAGCAAGGGCAACCCGAGCAAGTGGAGAGCGATAGCATACCATCCTTCCACCGAGACAATTTGGCTCGACGAGGGGGATGGTCAGAGCAGCCAATGGGCAGAACTGCGAGCCGTGTGGATGGTTATAACCAAGGAACCCGGTGATGGCATCCTGAACGTCTGCACAGATAGTTGGGCTGTGTACTGGGGGCTCACTCTTTGGATTGCACAGTGGGCCACCCAGGAATGGACTATCCACGCCCGACTGATCTGGGGCAAAGACGTGTGGTTAGATATATGGAATACGGTCAAACACAGGACTGTACGTGTCTACCATGTTTCTGGTCATCAGCCCTTACAGTCACTGGGAAACGACGAAGCCGACACACTGGCCCAAGTTCGATGGATTGAGAATTCACCATCTGAGAACATCGCCCACTGGTTACATCAGAAGCTACGGCATGCTGGACAAAAGACAATGTGGGCAGCTGCTAAAGCATGGGGACTGCCCATACAGCTATCTGATATCGTCCAGGCATGCCAGGATTGTGATGCTTGCTCCAAGATGAGACCGAGATCATTGCCTGAAACAACAGCCCATTTTGCTAGGGGACACAATCCTCTTACATCGGCCCCTTCCTCACTCCAAAGGGGCGAGATACGCCCTGACCTGTGTTGACACTGCAAGTGGGCTGCTGCAGGCCTATCCAGTACCGAATGCAAACCAGGCATATACCATCAAGGCACTCACTAAACTGATGTTTGCCTATGGGACACCTCAAGTCATCGAGAGCGACCAAGGGACTCATTTTACTGGTGCAACGATACAGCGCTGGGCTGAAGAAAATAACAAATCGATTGGCGATTCCACCTGCCATATAATCCAACGGGACCAGGCCTCATGGAACGTTGTAACGGTATTCTTAAGGCTGCCCTGAAGACAGACTCCCAGTCCCTGCAGGGGTGGACGAAAAGACTGTATGAAACCCTGCGGGACCTGAATGAAAGACCTCGAGACAGCAGACCCAGTGCCCTGAGAATGTTGCAGACGACATGGGCCACCCCGCTTAGGATCCAAATTACGGGCACTGGATCACTGACCCAGATTGGTAACGAAAATAATCTTCTGCTCCCTGCCCCTGAGAATTTAGATCCGGGTACCCGTAAAATAAAATGGCCTTGTTGGGTGCAGGTAGGACCCAAGTGGTGTGGCCTACTTGCATCTTGGGGGAGACTATTAGAGGTGGGAGGCTCAGTAGTCCCTCCAGTAATAGGTACATGGCCTACTGATATTGTGGTCAACGCTCCGATCTTTATTGCTAAAGGGACCCCCATTGTGTCCCTGTGGCAGATCAGGACACCTCCTTTGGTGCCTGATATCGTTATGTAGCAGCAGACATCCGGCCAGAAGGTGTGGTACAGGCGGCCAGGACGTGCCCCAGTACAGGCGGAAGTGTTGACCCTGGATAGAAAGACGGCCTGTATCTTGCCCTGGAGAGCAGACCTTCCCCTCCTGGTACCTGTGAAACATCTGTATTACTCCCCGTGAGTCTGTGAGCCTTCAGGAGCACTGGAAGGAACAAAATGCCATCAAGCGTTCCAGTGTTGCTGTCGGATCACATGCAACACATGGTGATGGTCTGCATGGGACTGATGGAACATAGAACAGACCTGCACCTCAGGACCTCATGCCTCCAGTCACATCATCGAGCACTGGCCCATAGAAGAGTATGGGCATTCACTGATCATCACTCGTCATGAATTGTCCCAACACGTGTCACGATAAAATCGTACAAGCGTCGCGATATACCGGATCTTTGTATTCGGGAAAGCTTACCCTTTAGTTAACGTGATCATTGGTTCACACCACGAAGGGGTGGAGTGTGTGGGAACTGCTGAGTCACGGCCTGAACCTCTGATTGATCACCTGAGGCGAGCCATGAGTCAGCCAGCGGAGCACAGGTGAAGGCAATTCATCTGTGCTGCCAGAAGGGGTGGAACCAGGCTCCTCCTAGCCCTATTTAAGAGCTGGCTACCAGAGGGGATGGATCTCGTCTGGAGATCCCCTCTTCTGGTGTTTTGTGGTGAGCCCAGTATAAGGGTAAGCCTTCCATTTGTTCTCTCATTATCTTAGTCTACTTTGCCTAACTCTCTTGTGCTTTTTGTGATTATAACGTTCTTAATACCCACTGATTATACAAGTGGCGTGTTCTGTGATTCTAAGACCTATGGACACAACGTATTGGACTACACAGATTGGACTACTGCAATTGGTTGGTGGTCCCTTTTATTTGTTCGTCCCCACTGAGGCAGAATATCAGACAGGAAGCGTTGCTTAGATCCTAATGCTGATAAAGAAGACCACAACGAATGCTGTAATGTGTGTAAATCGCTTGTTGCCGTGCCTAGTTTATTTATGGGTGTTTTGGCATCTATGCTAGTTGAGACTCCCAGTCCCATTCCAGGCGTATTTTCCACTGTTCTCTTTACCCCAAAGCTGCAGAGCAGGCAGTTCACAATCACGTTGTAGCTTCTTTTTCCTGTGCGCTGTGGAGACGCCTGGGTTCTCAGCCTTGCCTTCTCATGCTATTTATCTTGCTCTGCAGCTTCTGCTCTGAATAGTCCTTCCTGTATTCCCACAGCATGGGACAGCATTCTCAGGCAGAAGATGAGAGTGTGGGTAACTGCACCTCTCAATGAGAAGCACTCAGGAGTAATGATCCTGTCAAGACAAGAGAATATATACTGTAGTAAAGGGTAAAGCTGGTGATGGTTTCTGTGAAGGCCTTAATGGTGATCCCTTTAGCTATCGGATTTTCCAAGAGAGGGGGAAAGAAAAACAAAACCAAACAACAACTGAGTTAAGCAGGAGATTCCGTGTGAAAATTCTTGTGGTTACTTTTTGGAAGATGGAACTTGAAGTGAATTTGCTAAACTGTTTCTCACTTCTGATGAATGCTTTTAAAAGGAAATGGATTTTTCTTTCCCACATGTGCCCTGCTTCTGCTTGCAAGCATTGTACAGGCACTGGCTGCGTCGTGGTCCTACACGTGTGTTGCTGATGTGGTTGCAAAGCAATGTGGATTTTTCCAGCGGAGCACCTTTGGGGTGCGGCCTCCCTCCTGTGGTCTGCTGGGCAGCGCCTGAGGTCTGAGGCAGGCAGCCCTGGCATCAGGGAGGGCTAGCTCTGAAATCTAGTGACAAGGGGAGCTAATTATTGCCTATGAAAATAACACAAGTCTATGATCTGTTGACTTTTTTTTTTTTTTTTTAGATCAGAGCTTTGTTTCCTCAGCCGTATGTTTTATCTGCATTGGTTAGCTACCATTCCTGGATACCTGCATCCCACTAAGGGCTGCTGCTGTTGCGCTTCTTCCCGCTGGGATGGAGGCAGAGCGTCATTGTAGTCCTCTTTTCATCAGCAATCAGGGACTCAGTCGCTGTTCCCTGTGAAGAAAAGACGGGTTAAAAATGTACCCTCTCACACCCAGATTGACCTCCTGCAAAATGTGGGAGAATGGCACTGTCTGAAGCACCATCTCTGCCGAGTGACTTCTGTGGTGCTGTGATTTATCAGTGCAAACCTGCATTGCTGTGTATGCTGAATAGTTTGGAGTGTGTCATGGGATCGGGCATGCAGGAAAACGAGTTGCAGAGAGGCTTCAACAAGGACAGGGCTGGATGAGGAGAGTCAGCGAAGGGTTCAGCTCCCCTGGGAGCTTGTGTCACAGCATGGTATGCCCTTTGCCAGGGGTACAGCGAACGGCGGGGAGTATTACCTGGGTGTCTGCGGGAATGGTGGGAAATAGTGGTGGTGCGTGGCAGGTTGGACTGGATGATCTGGAGGTCTCTTGCAGCCTTTGTGATTCTGTGATTGTAAAGCTGTCTCACCACAGCACTGGGAGCTGGCTGTGGGGGCATCTCCTTGAGCAGGACACTCAGGGACACAGCGTTTCTCCCATTTTTGTAGAGGCCGAGGCTGGCAGAACAAATGGACGCTCAGGGAGAGGCGGGCTGGTCCCTGCCCAGCTGTTAACGGGAGTCTGCTTCAGGCGTCCATGCAGTGGCCTCTTCAACTGCGTGGGGTGTGGCTCCCTCAGGTGTGGTTTTCCTTTGGAGAGAGCTTGCACCCGCTTGCTGAGCAGCGTTCTCTGCACGTCCAGCATGCTCAGCTCTGCGGCAGGTGGCAGGTAGGGCGTCAGTCGTTTTGTAGCCACCTTCCAGAACAGGGACGCGGAGCTGCAGATGTTTGCGATGGAATCCGATGTGCCAGGCATGCCTGGCTGTTGTGTGAAGGAGTGCATCTCTGCAGCAGCGCGTCTCTGCGGCCACCTCGTGCTGCTGATAACGACGGCCCCTGCCTACTCAAAGGTCAGGAACGTTTCCGAGTCCTGCTGTATGCCAAGAATGAGCTCAATCCAGAGGACTTTGCCGGTGGCGGTGGTCAGCTTGAGCTTGCAGTGTCGGTTGGAGGGCAGCAACTCGAGGTTCATTGTGGCCGACTGAGGCATAGCCACCCAGGCTTCTCTCACGAGTTCCTGGAACCAGGTTGCGGTTTTCTCCATTTCCAGGTAGGACTCGTTGCAGAGGGTTTGCAGCAGGCTGGGCATCTGCTCTGTCAGCTGGTCCTCAGGGTGGTGGAGGAAGCACATCAGGTGTGGCATGTGCTGCTCCGTTTGGCACGTGCACTGGCGCTCCACGCGGATGCAGGAGTTCCTCACCCCTATCCTCTCTCTGGGGCCCACCTCCAACTGGAAGACGTGGCCCGGGGGTGCCTTCAGGGGCACGAGCATGCGGTAGACAGTGTAGCACCCATCGGGACCCCTGCCTTCAAAGCCAACGCCCACCCCAATGGCTGGCTGCAGCCGTGGCATGAAGTAACCCTGGGCAACTGTGTGACAGACGCTCAGAAGTTCATCCACCAGCTCCTCCACCACCTTGCACTTGTTTCTCCGGGACTTCAGCGGCCAAATGGAGAACTCGGAGTAAAACCTGCTCACGTAGGTGACATCACCGGGGTCTCCGTGGCACACCGGCTCCCACATCTCCCTGTCGCATTTGTTCCAAAGGTCAAACAGCTGTTGGGACAACTCTGCTGCTTGCCTTTCCCTGTACCGTTTGCGGATGAAGAGGAAGAGCAGGAAAAGCAGCAGTACAGCCAAGGCCCACACTTTCCAGGACTGCAGTGCAGAGAAGTACGAGCCTTGCACCCCCATCCTGCTCTCCTCCGCGTTCTTGTCTTCTGTCTCCAGCAGCAGCTTTGTCATCTGCTCTTGCAGATACGCCTCATACTGCTGCGCGTGCTCATGCGTGTCCGCATCCAAACTATCACCAAGAAGTAGTCTTCTGTTCGCCAACAAGGCTAACAGTAACACCAAAGCCATGATCTGGAAGAGGGGAGAGAGGGGAGGTCAGTGGGGCTGGGTGGGAGCTCGCACGGGGCTGGGGGAGCGGGGCCAGGAGCCACAGCCCCTGGGGTCAGGTAGGAGCGGGGGTGAGGGAGCTGGGAGGCAGGAGGTGACTGCCCGCAGAGCTGCTCGCAGGCTCCCTGAGCGCTCGCTGCTGTCTCTGCAGGCTCCCAAAGCCCCCGCGGGCCGGCGTTTGCGCCCAACCCAGCACAGCCCTCCCCCTGCTGCTGTACTCACCGCTGGCCTAGGCCAAAGTGGAGCTTGGCTGCCTGCTCACGGCCTCAATACCAGCCCCGCACTGTGATGCACCGTGATGTCACAATGCCCCAGCCCCACCCTTCGGCCCCACCCAGCGCGGCCCCTCTCAGCCGCCCTGGGCCGCCATGGCCCTGGCATCGGCCCTGTTCTGAGGCACGTGGCCGGACTGAGCTCCCCGCGTCTCCCTTTGCAAGGCAGACCGGAACCCCCCGGACCACCTCAAAAAGAAGATTGGCGACCGGGCCTGTGGATGCTCTGCTCGTCCTGTGTCAGCCAACCTAAGTTCCAAATACATCATCCCTGGAAGCTCATTTGGAACTGGAGGACGTGGTGAAATATTGATTCCCAAAGATGATACCTGGAAAAATGAGACAGCGAATGAGAGACGTACCTGCAAATGAACCAAAATTAGTCTCTGAAATTTTGCCAGGCAAATAATGAGGCACTGAAGTAAAATTTCATTAGGAAAGGTTAACAGTGGCTAATGTGGTACTTGATTTGAACATGGTGTTTTTTAAACGAGATAAGTTAGTAATGACATATAGATCACAATACACTCCCTAGTACTGGAATGCCACACAGGGAGCAGGCCTCACGTCCAGTGCAGCTGATATCAAGGTGCTTCTGGTTCACAGCTCCGTCAACCTCTGGTGCTCTGAAGTGTACTCTGCTAGAGGGTCACTGGATGGAGCCAAGCTGGAAGCAATAGGTCTGACAGTGAAGATTAGGAAGCCCAAGTGTGTAGCAGCATCTTCAGCTGCATACAGTCTGGCCTCCGTAGATAACTTGTTCCAGTGGGTGATCACCCTCGTGATAAAGGTGATTTTCCTAATATGCAGCCTGAACCTGTGATGAGCACACCATCACTTTCCACCTCGTGACTGTGGTCTGTTCATGTTATTCACACGTTGTAGTGGTATGGTCATCTCTTGTTGTCTCTGTGCCACAAAAAGTGGATTGATAGTTATGTTCTCTTAGATTCTCGATAAGTAGGCAGTGAAGTACTGCGGTGTGCTGTGCATTTGTTTGTATGTCTCAGGTGACTGGAGTTAATTGGTTTATCCCGTGCCAAACGTTTATATACAACATAACTGTAAGCAACAGGCATGTTAGATTTAGTAAAATCACATCAGTGTTTAGAAACATGAAATTCAGAATTCCTGTTGCTTTTGTTTGCCAACCAGAAAGAGTAAAATCGAGTGTCTATGGATAAAGATCGGGTGAAGGCCTGTAGGGGGTCTGTCTGTATGGTGGGGGTCTGTAATAGACTGCCTAGTCAGTGGGGCTGGGTGGGAGCTTGTGCTGGGACGAAGGAGCTGGGGGGCAGCAGGGGCGGAGGCCAGTGCTGATGGTGACTGCCGGAGAGCCGTTCACAGGCTCCCTGAGCGCTCGCTGCCTTCACTGCAGGCTCCCAAAGCCCATGCGTTTTGGTGATATTCTTAGATATAAGTCCGAGACATGGGGGCACAGGCCCCGAGAATAGGAGAGAAAAAAAAGGGGCAGTACGGTTTGCCGCGACTCGGCCGAGCCCGGGCCACGTGCGCTCCGGGAGAGGGTGAAGGGCAAAGAGCTAGCCGATAACAGAGAGAAAACACAACTGCAACGATCTGAGGAGGAAGAGTAATTTACTGAATTTAACTAATTCAAACAAAACGAGAGAGACAAGAGTATCAAAAAATGAGAGTCAAACCACGATAGCGCGAGAGAAAGCACGTGCTTTTTCCGCGGCAAGTCGAGGAGGCTGAGCCGGGCCACACGGAGAGAGGCAGCCGCTCTGGGTCCTGTCCGAAGCTCCACCCTACTGCCTCTGCCTGCCACGTCCTCCGGCATGCCACCCTTTCCCCACCCATCAGGATAAAGAGTCCACAGAAGGCAGGAAACGGAACGTTAACTCGTTAACTCCCACTTGTCCACATGATGTTCTGATGTGAAATACCGTCAACAGAAATCACAAAACCACAACAGCCACTCACAGGCTCCTTGAGCGCCCCTCAGGGCTCCTGTATAACAGCCCCTTAAGCTGCATACGGTCTGGCCTCTGTAGATAATTTGTTCCAGTGTTTGACCACTGTGTGGGAACTGCTGAATCACAGCCTGTACCTCTGTTTGACCACCTGAGGCGAACAGTGGGGTCCCCTATGTGTTATCGGAAATATCTCCCCATATCGCATGGCAGACTACTTTCAGGGACTTAGTAAAGATCTACTAATCACTAAAGAATGACAATTAGCTGCCTCCACAGTGGAATGACCACTATTAAATGCTTTAAATCACACTGAAATGAGGAGTAATACTTTAGAAAATGAAAACCAACTTTCGAGAGACCATATCAAAAAGGTAGAGCAAGAACTTGGCATATTAACAGGGAAGAAACCAATTCTGCATCTTCCAGTAGGTCAAGTTCGCAACAGTTCAGTAGACAATGACCAGACTCCTGAAAACACACTCTGTTGATCAGGAAAATAGAAATTCTAAATTAGATCTCGACACTCCGATTGCGAGAGATCCACTAGAGATCCGTTCTGTTATAACTCAGAAAACTGAGACAATACAGGATAGACTGGCTGGGATGCCACCTGATCAGTTGTGTGCAACAGCCCGACCATACACGGCAACAGAATTGATAGATTTAGTTCAGTGATTTCAGCAGAAGCCTAGAGGAAGTGTGCCAGCTTGGTTATTAAGACTGTGGGATTCTGGGGCAGAAACTGTTATGGTGAATGGCCCGGAGATACCCAAGTTGGCTACCATGACTGACCATCCTGCCCTCAGGCAGAGGTTATATGCGGGTGTTCAATATCTTAATAAAAACCATTCTATAATAGAATGGTTAATGGCGACCTGCCATATGGTATGGCGGATAAATCTGATATACCTCTACATACAGGGATGTGTGTCCTCCATGGAGGACCTTCCAAATTATATCCGTGAACTGCGCGTAAGGAAAGCAATTTATGAAGACGCATTTGATGGTCTTGATATGGTCAAATTCTCAGCAGGAATGAGAGACTTAATTCTACAGCAAGCCCCCTCACATCTGCATGGTACTTTGATCTCTATATTTAGTCCCCTGGTGGCCTCAGAAGCGATGGTCCAGCAGGCTGCCCAGTTAGTGGCCGACCTAGGCTCAGTAGTCCCTCCAGTAATAGGTACATGGCCTACTGATATTGTGGTCAACACTCCGATCTTTATTGCTAAAGGGACCCCCATTGTGTCCCTGTGGCAGATCAGGACACCTCCTTTGGTGCCTGATATCGTTATGCAGCCACAGACATCTGGCCAGAAGGTGTGGTACAGGCGGCCAGGACGTGCCCCAGTACAGGCGGAAGTGTTGACCCAGGATAGAAAGTCGGCCTGTACCTTGGCCTGGAGAGCAGACCTTCCCCTCCTGGTACCTGTGAAACATCTGTATTACTCCCTGTGATCTGTGAGCCTTCAGGAGCACCGAAAGGAACAAAATGCCATCAAGCGTTCCAGTGTTGCTGTCGGATCACATGCAACACATGGTGATGGTCTGCATGGGACTGATGGAACATAGAACAGACCTGCACCTCAGGACTTCATGCCTCCAGTAGCATTGACCATTAGCCCAAAGAAGAATATGGACGTTCACCGATCATAACTGGTCTTGAATTGTACCAACATGCATCACGATGGAAATTGTATAAGCGTTGCGATATATCGGATCTCTGTATGAGCAAAACCTTAGCCTTTAGTTAACCTGATCATTGGTTCACGCCGCGAAGGGGTGGAGTGTATGGGAACTTCTGAATCACGGCCTGAACCTCTGATTGATCACCTGAGGCGAGCCATGAGTCAGCCAGCGGAGCACAGGTGAAGGCAATTCACCTGGCTCCACCTCTCCCCACTTAAGAGCTGTCTGCCACAAGAGATGGATCTCGTCTGGAGATCCCTCCTCTCGAGTTTTACGAGCCCAGGAGGTGGGTGAGCTTTCTGTCTGTTCTCTTTTTGTTCTTTTAATCTGCTTTGCCAAACTCTCTTGTTTCTTTCATAATTATAACATCTTTGTATTTGTTGACTCTATAGTGGGAAAACGTTCTGGGCAATTTTGAGGGCCAAAATGGCACCTTAGCTTTCTGCAGGTTATGACAGCCAATAAGGCCACACAATATGCAGAGCCTGCCTCCACCCCCAGTTCCGGAAAACTTCCGGCTCTGAGTGCATCTCAGTCCAAAAGCTTAACATTTACAGTTTTACAGCACTGCAGTTGTGCTAGGTATGACAGTGCTTAATCAACAGTTAAAATACACTGACTTGTGTAGTTCTGGTAAATCATGGTTTCCCTGAAGAATTCTGTGAAGGCCTAGGATGTGTCCTCCTTCCTAGGGACAAAGTGGCAGAAGGTAGCTTATTTGATGCCTTTTAATTTTTTTAATTCATTTTAATCAGTGAAAGCATAATTGTGCTCAGATTTTCCATGCTTTATTTTTGCTGAACTTGCTGGGGTTACACTGGATGTCAGATCTGGGAGACTTAGACTTTTTTTTGTCTGAAGCTTGTATTGTACTTTGTTCTTTTCCTGGTTTTTTGAGAACTGCAAGAGGAATTTTTCTGCTTTAGAATATGTACTTTTCTCCCATGTTCTATGTTTGTGTATTTATGGTGCTTTTATTCACTGAATGGAAACTTTCCAGAACTCTCCAGGAATATGCAGTTTGTCCACTGTTTCTGGATTTCCAGTAGCATTCTCAGTGAAGTTCTTTATACATTTCTCTAGACATCTGAGGTGGATAATATATTGGTGGACAAGCAATTTACAGTAACCTCTTATGACACTTTTTTTTTTTTTTTTTTTAATAGCTTTCTGAATCATAAGTGACATGCTGGTGAAGCTGAACAGCTGATCTCCAGATACTGTCATAGTATTAACCATGGCATCTGAGGCTGTTCAGAGTTTTCTTCAGC